GCGATCTCAAAATTCGAAAAAAATGAAAAGTAGCTGAAATTATGGAACAAATGATTGATGCGATTTATCGCACGTCGCTATGACACAAAAAATGGCGTCCGTCGAACCACCTTAAGCCCTTACTGTGTCAAACTGCCTAAATGGCGTGAAATTTCAAAGGTAATTTTTATTTGAACTTTTTTATATGTGCCCAATTTGGCAACGTGAGTATGGAGCGATGTCTCCACGCGACGCGACACCGAACGGCCGCCGTTAGGGGATGCGAGGCACGGGGAGCAAAGGGGGGGGGGAGGTCGGCGGGTCTTGGGGCAGGGAACGAAGGCTAGCGCCGTCGATCAATCGAAAATTAAATTTTAATTCACTTTTGCCAAAGCCACGGCTGACGGACGCGCCGCTCTGTGAGGTCAACGTCCGATTTACGGACGCTTCTCGGCGGCGGATTTTGTCACTGAAAGTGAAAAACAGTGTATTTCCTTAAAAACCCAGGCCTCCATTCATGATGCACCAAACTTGAATGAGAACAATAATTGAACTACATTTTGCAATTCGGAACCATAACTTCTAGCTCATCTTTCAAAACACTCATGCCAATAGGGAAACTAATGACACATACCTTGTTTCTAAATTCAGCCAGAAATTATGGTTCCTAATTTCAAAATGTGCATGGTCCAATTGGCCTCTCTGATGGTAACGGATGGAATTCGCGTAACATCATGAATCATTTTCAGGAATGTACAAATGGACTACATTTTGCAATAGACCGTATTCGATAACGGTTCGATGTATCGTTTGGTTCAAAACAATAGAACATAACCTCAAACCAAACTCTAAGGATATTATTTGGAAAAGCTGAAAATGAGAAATTTCCTGACAATTTCACTTTGCATTGGCATTTGGTACTCAAAAGAATAAAAAATCTGTTTCAAAAGATCCGTTCTCTCAGATTTCTGAATTTACTTTTGAGGCTATGTTTATGTTTTGAACCAATCGATATCGATACAATCTCACCCGTTTGATGTATCGAATACGATCTATTATGAACTACAATGTCTGCAGCTCATTTAAGTTACAACGTATGTGCCCTTAGTTTTTATATGCTTTTAAGTGTTTTTTTCAGAAGAGTGGGAAATTGTAGTTCTGAATTGTAGAATGTAGTCCAAATAGGATACAACTATCCGATCATCCATGTGAATTTGTAGTGTACCCTCTGAATTGAAGGCGAACTGCCGGAACGATCTTGTTTGATCTTTCCAGTACCAAATTGCTGTTATTTCTCAATTTTTTAATTTTTTTTTTTTTTTTGAAATGTGATAGTATTTTTTAACAATCCACGTCATTTTATCGTATACTTCCTGGAAAATTGAAAGCAAATTTGCAGAAATTAATCGAAGCACTCAATTAGTTATTTCTTCAAAATTTCACTAGGAAACAAATCACATGACAAGAATGTCTAGAATTTAACGCCGAAACAGGATATCCCAACTTCACACAATTTTGAAGAGAAAACTTCCGTATTTACTGGTTCAGATCTTTTCTGGTGGTCCATTAGTATTTTTAAGGTACCTTATAATTTTGTTGGAAATGCTAATTGAGGATTTATTATGATACACTTTTCAGAATCAACCAATATTAATGGCGAACCGCGAAACAGAAACAATTTCAAATGCTTATAAAATAGACTAGCACAAATGATTCCGTAACTTGTGCCGTCATTCAATCTATATAAAGTTGCTCATAATGATACGTAGTCTTAATACTTCTACGTATGTTCATTGATAACAGCATACCTTTGAACAAGATTTTTTTAAACTTAATGAGCCCAAACTTATTTACTGAAAGGATCATTATTTAAAAAATTTTGCGCGTTTTGCGTGATACTGTAATGCGTGACTAGTAAGGAAAAAATGAACCGAACTAACTTTTTTTCGGATAATTGTATTTTTTCGGTTGAATTTTTTAGTTTCGGATTATGACATTTCATTTTTTTAACCATGCAGTTTGATAACGATCTTCAGTGTTTTGTATATCATGCTTAATTACATCGCTGATGATGGGTCTCTGATACCCGGAGTCCATGATACGATTTTGAATAATACAACAGTATGCCAATTTAAACATTTTACAAAATGGGTCTTCTGATTTATTTTTGCCTCGCTTCATCAAAACTTTTGGACATGTCAAAGCAGAAAAAAGAAAATAATCTGAACCCTACCCATGAACTGCTGTAGTGGAGTATGGAACCGGAGTTTGCAAACCGTAACCAAAGTGCCGCACTGAAAAAAAAATCTCGGTGTATTTACTAAGAAAAGGGTAAAATTACCAAGAATTCAGGGTTCAATTTGATCCCAGTTTTTTCTTGGTAAAATTACCATTTATGGAATTGGTAATTTTACCGAGAAATCTCGGTAAAATTATTGAACTTTCTCGGTAATTTTACTGGACCTTGGTAAAAACGCCAATATTTTTTATCGACTGTGGTAGAATTAACGAGATAAAATGGCAAAGTTACCGGGAATTGATTACCAATAAAAGTGGTATTCTTACCAGCCTGAAAAAACAGTAAAAATACCGGATTTTAGGTAAGCTTACTAGTCTATCTTGGTAAAAAAGTGAGATGGTAAAGGTACCAACGGTCCTTGGTAAAAACGCCGAGAATTTTTTTTCTGTGCGCTATTTCAACTTTCTTCGAGAAATCGTTTTCTTAGTCCACTTGGCGGAGGTGGGTAACCCAAAATGCCATCGCACAAACAGGTTGAAGAAACCACCCTCGCAAAATGGAACGAGGCGTCGGTGGAGGGGGCGGGGGGCACAAAAGAGGGCGAACCGAGATAGGGGCTGCCCTCGCGAGCGGGGGCGGGGGGGGGCGAGATGGAGATATGAATATAGACATGCTCCGAGGAGATGACATGACACCTGGATACCAGGTGCATCCTGTCTCTATCATGTGCTACGACATGCATCGCCCTCCTACGCCAAAACCGCTCACCTGCGTGGGTTTTTTATTGGGAGTTACGCGGTTCTGGTTCCGGAGGGTAGTGCAACCGGATATCATCCCTTGCGACCGACCCTGTCCCGTTGGGAGCTCCTCGCGATGCTCCTTCAAGGGGGTTGCGCCGCTGTTCCCTTGGCCTACAGGGGTCCGTGACGTCACCGCTCGGCGACTTGGTTTTTTCCGGATTCCGTCCACCGATAGCGCAGAAATCAGAGCCGGCGCCATGTTGCCAACTTGGGATGTTACAATATCTAAATAGAGCATAGCGTTCAGCGGAAGGATCGAAATGACCTGAACATGGAATGGAAGGAAATAGATCATACTAAAGATCATAATCATATGTGATTCACATCGCGCGCTAAACGTTTATCATGACAGTCTTTGCGATATGAAAATCTGGCAACCTCAATCTCGACGTATTATTTAAGGCAAATGACCAAAAGTTCATTTTTAATACCCTTCCTCCTCTTTCCGAAGCAATTAAAACGTTTTGTAGGTAAAAAAAATTGAAAAATTAGCCGGGAAAATCACCAATTAAGATAATAGCAGCCTCCTATTATCTCATGAGACACTACCGTCGTTTCCACAGCAACCCATCGAAATTTTCTTCGAACCTCTCTTTCAAAATCGTCATAACATAACCTCAAACCTTAAATGTGTCGTGAACTCTCCCGACTTTTAACGGGTTCGACCGTTAAGTTCCGTTGACTTAAGCTTTTGAATCGAGTATTTCGTCTCGATGAAGAAAGACGATTCTTACGACCATGGGGTCGACTTGAAGTGTCTCTGTAAAGATCCGCCTGAAGTGCGCCTGCCATGCTACGTTCCCGTCAGCAGACCTTGCGCACCACCTTTCACCCGAGTGATACAACAATCCACCGATCTGAACCCCGAGGAGCGTTGCCAGGAAAAGTATTCCGATGGATTCATCAACAAGTAAGACTCACGCGCTTTTCCCCGAGGTTATTTTAAGAGGTGAACTGTACTTTAGACGTGCGTCACTGTACTCACTGTGGTCTTTTCTAGGTTCAAAACAATAGAACATAACCCAAAACGAAAATTTTAGGATTTAAGTTGGTAGAGCTGTAAATGAGAAAATTTCTAACAATTCTGCTTTCATTCTGTACTCATAAGAAGCGACAATCTATCACAGAGAACCAGTTCCCTCGGATTATTTAATTGACTTTTGAGGCTGTTTACATGTTGAACCAATCGATATCGATACAATCTCACCTGTAGGATGTATCGAATACGATCCATTTACGATCGATTTATTTTCAGAGAGAAACGTCAGAAGAGGTTATTTTTTCTTGTTTATACTCACTTTTTCTTCACGTTTCGTTTAGCCAACAGGGATTTTACAAAACCGGGAAAGTTCAAATCGATGCGCGACTCGCGAATGTTGCGCAAAGCACTAAAATTAGAAGAGAATTGTCACTTGTTTACTTTATATCGAAGGGTTTTATATTAGTTTGTTCAGTTGGACATAATAGACATAACAGGTGCCACTTTCAAATGAGGATGAAGGGATTACTTGCCCCCAATTCCCCGGTCCATTCCAGTTTATAATCTTTGCAATTGAGGGTACCAGTTCCAAAGTGTGCATTGTCCATAAAAGTGGTTTGTCACAAAAACGCAAAAAACTGTTTTGTGTACTGTACGTTTTGCCGAGGCCTACCTTATTTTTAATACTGCTAATTTAAAAGGATGTTGGCTGTTTTGGCACCCAATCTAATCATTTTCTGATTTTCCTCCAATGGCTTATCAAGAATCCTCTCCTAACTCAATTTCGACCAAAATGGACACAGCACACTTTGGAACTAGTAGCCTCAATTGGTGAAAATGCAATCTTCATTCCCGTTTGTGACACTGTGAAGGCCTAAAATACAATGACCAATCAGAGATGGATTCGCATTGTCTTTACTCTCAGTATATAGGGACTCTACAGGATGCTAGCAATTTATTTTTTCGGTGCAACTTTGAACACCGCCCATGACATTATGCGCAGATGCTGCTCATTCTTGTGTCTGCTCCTGATCGGGGCGATCTTCTTCGCGTTCCTGAAGCTGCTGGACCAGCGATTCCTCCTCCACTGCTACGAGTGCCAGGGCCCGGAGAGCGGGCCGTGCGGCCACCCGCCGCGGCCGAACACCTCTTCCTTCCTGGCCAACCGTGTGCTCTGCCTGGGCAAGGTCTGCGTGGCCCGCTGCGAGGGCGGGCGCAGTCGGATCGTGACGCGCGGCTGCGAGGACTTCGAGATGGCCGTCTCGTCGAACCGCACCGCCCTGGCCGGGAACACGGACCTCAAGCAGGCCGGCTGGTGCAACGATGTCTTCGAGACCGGGGCCTGCAACGCCTACGAAAACGTCTGCAAGTACTACCGCCCCCCGGGCAGGACCCGGCAGGGAAAAGGCAAAGGTAGGCGGAGGAACTATACGGATTACAGCAGGCGCGGAGGATCACAGCAGCCCTGGATTCAGCAGCCACTGCCGAGGGGGAACAGGACCGGGAGGCCGTGATCTCTTCTCGAAGGGTAAGTCGCACAGGGTGTTGCTTAGCCATTTGGCAAACATTAAGTGCTGATTTGGATGAATTCAGGGGCGGTCTGGACAGGGTGCAAAATTCCTACGCGCTGCTTTTGCTCATTATAGGAAATTCTTGAAAATGTACATTTTCTCACATATCTGTTTTGAATTGTGATAACCTTTCAATTCTACACGGAGAAAAAAACTTCGTGCATGGGACCCGAAGTTGAGGTCATATGGATCTCTAAAGTTTTCTGATCGCGCATCCGAAAACTTGAGGTCGAGATGTCGAAGTTCGGGTCAGACATCAAGGCACTTCGGTGTGTACCGCAATACTTCAGATGTGTGACCCGAACCCTTCGGTATAGATTGAAGTACTTCAGATGTCTGACCCGAACATCGGCAGCTGGACCTCAAGTTTTTAGGTACGTAATCCGAAAACTTCAGATGACCTCAACTTCGGGTCCACGTACGAAGTTTTTTTCTCCGAGTGAAATGAAAAATATGAAATAGTGAACATTTTCGTGAAATATTTCATGAAATTTCACAAAGTTGTAAAAAATATGAAACATATACGAGGGCTGGGTATGCATCACGTACTTAAAAACACGAAAAGGCAAAAATCAATCGTCTTTCTCTTAATTTTGCATTTGATTTAGAAACCGATTTTGGGAATTTAGAAAATTAATTTTTCGGGTGCATTTTGGCAAAGTGGGATTAGTGGAAGATGGCGCACCCGCATAGTGTCCTTGTTTCTAACTACAAGCCGACAAGCGTTATGGGTCATAAATCTCAGCGGGCGGGGGCGGGGGCGTGGGCGGAACTGCACCTCCTCCGCCTGCAGTCCAAGGTGCAGGGGGTTGTTGAAAAATCCTCACCCGTTCGCAGTGCGGAATCCGGCGTTGAAGCTCTCCTCATAGTTGAGCTACAGGTCGGCCGTTCCTTATGCTCCATTAGAATACCGTCACTGTCTCTTTACTATGATCTCGGTTGTTGAATATTGTATAGAGATTTAAAGAATTTTTATTTCGCACTTTTTTTGTAGTTCAGGCAACTCGGTGGTGGACGGTTGTATCTAGCCCCCCCCCCTCTCTCACACTCCTGCCGGGACCTCCGCGTCCCTGCAGCTCCACAAACTCACCCCCACTCTAGCCTTGACTGGAGTGCGCTGCGCATGCGCTGTGCGCCGAGGCACCAGCCCTTGGCCGCGCCGGGCCCACCCTTGGCCCGTCAGTTCCCGTCGTCACCCTCTTGGAGAAACACGCGAGCTCCTGGAGGCACAAGTCCACTGCCGAGTTAGCCTATCTGCTTGATGTACTAACTCCTGAAATACATTGATGAAACTTACACTTGCCTTCAGCATTATCGATCCACCTTTACAGGTCCGATACTCCTCGAAGCATCCAGCACAAATCTCAGCACGCTGCTTGGTGCGCTGCCGATCTGCGCTGACTCTCGAGTAAAGTATCGCAGCCCGAACCCAGCACGCCTGCGGGTGCGCTGATAATTCGCGCTGACCGGATATAGGAACCGGGCGGAAATCCAACGGGGGGTTTTTCTCTAAGTCAAATTCTCACCGTTGAGTGCGATTTTCGGTCGGATCCTCAAACATCGGTATTCTTTTATTTCTTTCTTTTTTTTTAAGAAACGGGAGAAAATCCCATATGTCTTGAAGGAACAATCCAGCGGGCTGGCTGTTAAAATTGACTGACAAAGCCAGAGACACAGGAGACAAAAGGGATATAGAGGGATTCTATCGGTGGAAGCGGGTGGTTGCGATGGACAAAGAAGGTAGAAAATAGACCAACTAACGGCAACCCATTTTTCCGAGTAAAATCGACTTTTCTAGAAAATTTGAGGGTAACGGAAAAAAGCGGAGGTCATATTCGGATTCAGCGCCTCAAAATACATTAAGATTAAAATGCGTACAAAATTGTCTGAAATTTTTGGAAAAAATATTCCCAATTTTCCCAGTAAATTCGGTTTTTATCGAAGGAAACTTTGCAACGTCTGAAGGCTCATATGACGTTCTTCCTTAGCACGGTAGTAATATAGGATCCCTCCGTATCTCTTTTGTCTTCTTTGTCTATCGCTTTGCCTATCCATTTCAACAATCAGCCCGCAGTACAGCCTAGTCAACGCTGTTTATGCTATCCTTCACTAGAAAAAAAAAAAACACATTGGATCTAGAGCCCAGACTCTTGAAAACATTGACAAGAAAAAATACTCTTGATTCAATCAGATTTAAGCTTAAATCAAAAGGAAATCCGCTCAAATTAAGAGGCGTGGTCCTTGATTTAAGCAAAAATCCGATTGAATCAAGAGTACTTCTTCTTGTCGATGTTTTTAAGAGTCTGGACTCTAGATCCAATGTGTTTTTTTCCAGTTTTCTATCATCAGGAAATCAATTCGTATTCTTCTCAGGACCAGCAGCTCTGTACCTCTCACCCACGGCCGTCAAAAGATATAGAGACGAGATTCTCGGCCCTTGCCCCTGAGAGGGAGGAAACTGAAGATGAGCCGGTAGCGCCCGCTCCCAATTCGGGTCTGGCAAAGCTTTCGCGGCTTTTAATTCGCGGAGGCGGTTGCGGAGGTCGGCGGAGATCGCGGGAAATCGGGAAACGAAGATCCCGGGAAATCGGGAAACGAAGATCCCGGGAAATCGGGATACGAAGATCCCGAACATGGCACGCCCCGTGGGACGCGGACCATGGGAAACGCTGAGAGCACCCGCTGAGGTCAGTTTAAGACATCCGGCCCCGGGAGGAACCGTTGTCAAGTCGCCTTTCCGTCCACAGGCAAAACTCCGTATGAACCTTCCGGCGTTGTCAAATTTCCTCCGCTAAAATACGAATCTACCGGGAAAAATCTTGAATAATTTTCCTCCGATTTTTCAGCCGGTATTATTCGCACTTTAATTGGATTGCATTTTGCAAAAAGGAACCACGAGCATTACAATTTTGTTAAGATTGTTCAACTGAAATGCTTTGCGAAAAATTACAGAAATCATGAGGAAAATTAAATTTACAAAGGTAATTTTCATCTCAAATCCACGGTTTACTTGGAGTAAAGGTTAAACTTGTTTAGATGATCAGTTTCTATTTGCAAAATGAAAAATGTTGCACAATTTTAGCGACATTGGAATGCTTGCGGTTCCTTTTTGCAAAATGCAATCCAATTTAAAGTACCTGAAAATTTCAAGGAAAAATATGCGTAACTCCCTCCCAAAATAAACATCTTATCGGAGGAAACTTGACAACTCTCGAATGGTCGCACGGCGTTTTTCCTCAGCACGGAAGCACATCCGATCCGCAGACTTTTTTGTTTCGGCAAAGTTCGGCAGAAAGGAGAGGAGGTCATTGTCTCCGATATTGAATTTCGCGGAATTCCGTAAACCTGGAAAAAGGATAAATCTTCGCGGAGCTTACGGAGTTAACTGTGAATGATGACCGCCAAGACATCCGGGCCCGCGAAAAATCGCATTGCCAAGTTTCATCCTTCATTCACAATTCCGTCATTGTGGGTTGTGGGCTGCAGGATCTAGTTTTCTGCACTATTACACTCCCTCATTTTCACTCTATTTCAATGATACTGCCGTGCTAAGGAAGAACGCCGTATGAACGTTCGAGAGTTGCCAAATATCCCTTAATGAAACATGTATTTTTGACAACTTTCATGCATATTTTTCTTTGAAATTTTCAGACATTTTAGATTAAATTGTGTACTAAATTTTCTGAAAATTTTGGAAAATAATATTCTTAATTTTCCCAGTAATTTCGGTTTTTATCAGAGAAAACTTGGCAACGTCTGAAGGCCCATACGGCGTTCTTCCTTAGCACGGCAGAATAGGTTAAAGGCCCTCAGATGCAAAATCAGTTCAGCATCGCGGGTATCTGTCGTTTAAAATTTCAGCCACTATATTCAGCATAATATTCAGCTATAAATATTCAGCTATAAATATTCAGCAGTCGTTCATTCACCCTCCTACCAATAATTGTATTCCTCTCCGTTTGTATTTCTTAGCGCGTGTTAATGACAATTTTTTCGGGAGAGTCTGCAACAGAGGGAAGGATCATCCCTTCTCTCAATTCTACATTTGTATTTAAAACTTGTTTTCGCATAAGGGCATCTCAGTGTTTAGTTATAAGTTCGCAATATTGTAAAAACTGTTAAGTCGAAAAAGACAGCAGTTTTAAGCTGATATTCATTAATGTAAATAACCATGTGTATAATGAAGAGATTTTATTGTAAATATAATGATCAAGAGCATTCTATTAAATCAGAAATAGAAGGTTGTCTCTCGCTGAAAAATAAAATACCAACCCTCCCAATGATCAGCATGTTCTCATTAACACCCTCAGCGAACACCCCCATTAATCAATCCTTTCCATAGGTTTAAATGGTAGATCAATCGATGTATAGCAAAGCACGCCACGCCACTGAGCAAGCCTACTCTGCTGTGTCAAGAAAAACGCCGTTTGAAAATTCGCATGTTGCTAAATATCCTCTCAGAAAATATGCATTTTTAAAGAAAGTTATACATTTTTTTCATTGAAATTTTCAGGCCCTACAGATGAAATTACGAACTAAATTCTCTGAAAAATCGGAATAAAAATATTCACAAAGCTTCCCGAAAATTTGTGATTTGTCGAATGGAAGCTAGCCAAGTTTGAAGGATGATACGACGTTTTTCCTTAGCGCGGCAGTGACGGAGTTATACGGATACACGAGAATCAACGTCTGAGAATGATGTTCGATTAATAAGGTTCACAAGTCTCGATTCATGTACGGGGAATAATGTAACGTGCCCCTTTTATGGGCGTCGAGAAATCCATGGGGGACGCCGGGGGGCGGCCATAAAAAATGTATCGTATGACCGCACGTTCTCTCACGGTGGGGGGGAGGGGGAGGGGCGGTCTCTCCCTGAACTTCCGGGCCATCTCCCGCGGTTTCCCCTTCTTCCAGGTTTATTTGAACGTCACGCACGTATAGTGAGGGTATTTACGCTAAACCCACGCCCGGTGGCGAGATCCTCTGATTTTTCCGCATGCAAGCACCGCACTTTTTCGCCGTTCCTCAGCTGTCAAGTTGCATCGGAAAATTTCCCCGCGAGTTCAGCTCGGACTCTGATCGGATCATTTTTTGCGGACTTAATTTATTTACTTCTTTTTTTCGTAGGAGGGAGTGACTCATTGGACGTATTTCTGCCAAACGGAACTATGTGCATTATGACGTGATCCCTGTTATGCATATTCGCAGGCAGTCAGCAATCGCCGGCAATTTGCAAGCTCCGTGCTTGTCAATTCGTCAAATTGCAATTACAATAACATCGGTGTAGTAAAGGTTTCTTTAGCGAAGAAATTCAAGGCACGACCTCAGCTTGGAACGCCTTCAAATCCAGGGATACTCTCCGCTTTGCCGCGGAGTTAGTTTAGCTGCTTAACCAAACCATAAACCAAACCCAACGCAGATTATTTATTACATCACAAACTCACGAGTGTGTTAGCAGGTACCATGCATTCAAGAAGAAGGGGATAACGTATGTTTGAATTCAAAGCATAATGATCACTACTTCCTATCTCGTTTTTTCACTTCAATTTTTTTTTAATTTGTTGATTCAACACAAATAGATTGCAATTTGCCGGCGATTGCTAATTGCCTGCGACACATATTATATTCCTATGGGTCTCAGGGCTCATGTCTTAATGCTTATAGTTCCGTTCGGCAGAAATACGTCCTATTGGAAGTATGCATTTTTCGCACAAAATCTGGGATTTTGACATTTCCACACAAAGATTGTGATTGACGGTTCCGCACAAAAAATTTCCCGCGCAAGTTACATGAAGTCACGTCAAGAGTTTCCTTGCCGTCGAATGATGAAAAAACTTGCGTTTTGTTATCTTTCACAAAAAATGAAGCGATCCCCGATGATTGATGGGTTAGCAAAATGTTTCCCTCTATTTCTTCTAAATTTCTTTCGTATGTGCATTAAGAGAAACGCGAGCCAAATTGTGCCAAAAGTAAAGTTTTGCTGCCTGATTTTGTGCGAACTTGTCAATCCAAGTTTTTGTGCGGAAATGTCAAAATCGGACACTTCGCGCGGAAATGTCAACCCACCGACTTATCACCTATTTGTTTACTGACCCCATACGTGACTTTAAAGGCTTCCAATTAATCGAGGAGCTATGCGTATGGTTTTATCCAGAATCAGTCAGTTGCGCTGGTCCCAAAATCGTGTTTTGATGCTTGATTCTTGTAGATCAACTAAAAGTAATAAGATCTGTACAAATAGCAAATTTCTACGACCAATATTGACTGAATAATCTATTCTTGTCGGAGCACCTGGTCCCTCCAAGAATCGATACCTTTCCATGGGTCTAAATGGAGAAAAACAATATTGCCAAATTGCTGGATCCGCCAGTGGGGCTAGAGAACTTATTGTTATAACCGAGACATTTTCAACCCTTTATTAAATGACTCAAGGAGGGAAGTTATCCGACAGTCGTATAATAGTATCTGTCTAAATTGCTAAAATCTAGCCTTAGGTAAATATTTGTCGACTTTCGAAGATTCTCTCCCAGAAAGAACATTACAGAGCCAATGAAAATGTAATGCAACCAAGCATTCAGAACTTTCGGGAACATGCAAGCTAATGTACCCCACCCGTCTACTTAGCGGAAAGTTAATTCCCTCGGCTGTCATGTAGCGGTGAAATCATGAACCATATTTGCGAACTCTGGCGGGTGCAAGGGAAGAAACTTTTGAGTCCCGGAATGGTACCCTTATCGCATCATGTTCGAAAGAAGACTCATAATGCCTAGTCCTGTGTTTAGCAAAACGTCGTGGCTTCACAACTTACCTATTTTTCATACAGAATTGCGTCAGAAAATGAAAGAATAGGACTCACAATGTCAAAACTTCGTGTTAATACCATCTTAACTCATTGAGATTTTCGAAACGTTATTTTTTTAGCCTGATGGAAACATTGTAGGCGATGTACAGGAAAGAAGAAAAATCATGGAAGTTTACAAGAATTGTTTCATTTCCCTCCTTTATCGGGTTGTATCAGTATAATACTCACTTGCCCTTTTTCGCCCCATTAGAAATTTCGGTTGTCAACCTTAAATTTAAAACCAAGTTTTTTAACCAACTAAACCAACTGTTTTAAGTTTAAAGTTGACAACCGAAATTTCAAATCGGGCGAAAAAGGAGAACTGAGTATTGTACTTTTACAAGAATTATATTACGTAGAAAAGAGAAGTTTCTTGGATCTAGAATCCAGACTCTAACAAAATTTGACCGGGAAAAATATTCTTAATTCAATCGGATTTTTGCTTGAATCAAAAGGAGTTCCGCTTAAATGAAGAGGATTGGCTCGATGCGTGCAAAAATCCGCTTGGATCAAGAATATTTCTTCTTGTCGATTTTTTTAAGAGTCTGGCCTCTGTACCCAAGAGACTTTTTTCTGACTAGTTTTTAAAAAAAAATTAGGTATGACAGGAAGTCTGCAACGTCGCAAAAAGAGATACGCGGTTTCGCACTTTGGCCATATATACACGTATAAGTGCACTGCCTCACCAAGGAAGAATGCCGTATGAACCTTTAGGCGTTACCAACTTTCCTTTGATAAAACACGAATTTCCTGGTAAAATTATGAATATCTCTCTTCCAATTTTTCAGTAAATTTTGCTCGCAAATCAACCAAAAAGTTCAGAAAATTTCAAGGGAAAATATTCATAACTTTCTTCAAAAATGAACATTTCATCGAAGGAAATTTGACAACTCTCGAATGTTCATACGGCGTTCTTCCTTAGCACGGCAGCACAGGGAAACCAATAGCCTAAGAGTTTCTTTTAAAATGAGCCAGACGTTGCAGCTCTTCATTCCAAAAATAGAGTCCAGCTGATGTTACCGCAAAGTCACAGTTCAACTAAAATATACCAGTCCACCAATCGAAATACGATCGGTTCCTGTTCACTTTACTCACGGAAATCAATAAATCCCTCTATATCCTGTATTAATCGCGCCGTGATTCTTTAGGCCATGCAGCCCGCTTTTCCCAGCTGCGTAGCGTGTTACAGTGGCATCATTCTGCTCGCCCCCGAGGATAGTGTCATTGCTCACCGCAAGTCCGAACAAGCGGAACAAGTGTGCGTTGAGCAATCCCTTGGGACCCCTCCGCGCGCCCGAACGGAGAGCGATTATGCAACCCGCGTTGCCTCGTGGTTTACGGCAGTGCAGTCCCTGCATAAGCGGTTGCATAACAAAAACATCGACCCAGTAATTTTGTTTCAACGCCCCCCCTCGAGGCTCAACTATTGTGTGTCCGGTGTCATTCCAACTAATCGCCGAGAGAATATGGAGAATCAATATTGTTTTGTTTTTTTTTGTTCTTCTCTATTTTTTCCAACGGGCAGCATCCAGAGACGAACACAACCCTCGATGAAACACGCATTTGTAGAATTGTTCGCTGAATTTATCAGAGATTTTTATTCAAAAATCAATCTTTTGTTTCTGAAAATATTCTTCAACTGCTATTTTTTTTTTCAAATAAAACGTTTAATTGAGGAGAATCTGGTAACGCTCTAGTGACGTTTAACCGTGGCACAGGAAAATCGCTGTCCGTAAGAAAATGTCAAATCCCCAAAAGTCAAAGTTTCCATTTGTCGTGTAAAGGCTAGTGAAAGGTCTCTCTTCATCTCTGGTGGCAACATGCATTTTTGGCTCGTGATGACTGATGAATATCGAGGCGAAAAGCTGATCAAACTTGGTCTCGTTTGATAAACTGATTTCTCAACACATTCTCTAAAGGTCGTATAACGATGGAAATATAGAAGTGATTCCTGAAAATGACATTTATAGCAAGCGAATTTATTGTTGAACAGCATTCCTGAAATATTTTATCGGGGAATGAGATACGTTTATAACCAAATAAAAACGGCAGACACCGGCCACTCAAAGGGTATATCCAGGTGCAAAAAAAGGTTGATTCGTCTGAAATCATGCACATTTTACATAGAACCCGGCAACATTGTACCTTTTTAAATACCAGCAAACCTGACTGGCTTCAACCACTACCGGTACTTCTCATCAGTGCCGAGGCGTGAATGATCGATTATCGATAATTCCCCATTTAAAGCTTTGGTTAAGAATCGATTATAAAGGTGTTCGTTGCGAACACCCTCTTTATCGATCCTTTTCCATAGGTTTAAATGGCAGATCAATCGATACATCGCAAAGCACGCTACGCCACTGCTTCTTATGTCCTCTTGGCACGCACCCATAATAATTAATTTTGCGTGTAGAGGACGATTTTCAATTTATCTAGGTTCTCCAACTCCGTATGATTTCAATCCTATAGATTTTCGCCACTATGATGGACTCATTCACAAGTGATGTTACTTACATTGCCGTGATAGCGAGGAGCGCAGTAAGTGCAAAAGTGAAGTTTTGAGAAAACTGTTGCGTTTTGGACACACATTTTCAGGTGAGAAATTGGCAGAAGAGGGCGGTGCTTTGCTTGAAATCACTATTTTCATCGGCTCTCTGGAGGAATAATATCACTTACGGCTGTTTTGCCTGAATCTAAGTGATTTTTCCCGCACTTACGGCTTTCTCGTATGTCTCGTTTTCATACGATTAATTAAGATCAATATTACTGTTTAAGCTATTTCAGCGATTTCATCTAAAAGGGATTAGACGAATTTTTAAGGAAACTCGATTTCGAAAATTTGACACTTACAGCTCTCTTTGCTATCACGGCAGTGTAGTCCTGGATTAGCTTGCAAACTTATTCCGGCATATTATTTGATTTTCTCGCAAAGCACCATAAGAGGCCTTGTTGTTGTTTACCAAAAGATCAATACTCTCGAAATGAATCATAACGATTTACCAGAATTGAACCTAAACAACAACGTAAACTTTTTTAATGCTGCCGGCGAAAATTAATTGGCCAAGACGTTGGCTTGAATAAATTTATAACTATGAAGTGTTGTCTCACATGTAATATTGCCCAACGACGTGGTTTTTAGGTGCTTTTTTTAAATCGCCAGTCAGCTCTCGGAGGTAAAACTAAAATTTACATTGGAAAAAAAATAGTTTTCAGTGGCTATCAATAGCGGTTGGGTGTCGCAGAGCGCACAGAAGCGCTTTAAGAGTGGCATATTAGTTGTGGTAAAAAATTTTTTTGTGCAGAATATTGCGGAAATCTCTGAGTTAATTTTACCCTCTTTTTGGTTAGAAAATTGTGCTCCCAGTCACTGACTTTCCACCTGGCTCTGTTAATTGTTAAAATCAATTCTGCTCGATTTTTTTTAAAGTTTTTTAAGTTTTTAAGTTTTTCAATCGATCCCATGCGAGAGGAGGAAAAAGAATCAGGGCTACGTCATTTCAGTTATAACAAGAGTAACTGCTTTCCATCTTATTACCAGGCCAACTCTTCCAAGATGACGAAAAGAGAGTTTGGCTGCAGTCACATATCCATGTTTGTTTTCGGAGCACGAGAATCGCCTAAAAGCCCCGAGGAGTACCTCGATAGTGATGACTTAATCCCTACACTGGAATCACACATATTGAGTAAATTTGAGTGTTTAGTATAAAGAGGGTGTATAGTAGTGTAGTTAGTGTAGAGAAAGAACAAGAACGATTTTATTATACTTATTATACATTTAAAGAAAAGAAGAAGATAAAGAAATAGAATAAGTATTTCGAGCTGGACATGTCATCTTACAAGCTTGAATATTGATGTGGAGCGGAATTCAGAGGTCTTGCTCAACGTTTCGAAGTCAATATCATGGGCTACTCCTCTGAAAACGAGTTGCCAAATTTTCTTCAGCCGGTAGCTGGTGAACTTGCCTGAATTCAGCGTGAAAGGTGATAACTTACGCGGAGTTGTTAGTTTTTAGATGACTAAGATTAGAAATTTTGGAAAATTTTCATGAAGAATTTTAATTTCATAGATTTTTCAGGCTGCGTTAAAAGTTGAGCACAGCAGCACACTGGGAAGAAAAGTTCGTTTGTGATGAATGCACCGTATGTTAGTTGCTTCATATCGACGATATACTTTCGGTTCAGGGAGTCGCCTAACTTTTTAAGCAGTCCAGTTCAGTTTAAAAGTTCGATTATATGAACCGAATATCCATGAAATCGGTTCATAAAACGCATGGAACGAAATTGTACGCACGATATGGAGCATCGTAAATACAATACTAATGACGGAACTTTTTATGTGAGTGCATCAAATACTGACGGGCTTGTTTGGGACTTTCCTTGGTCCGAGAATGGATAAAAAAAAACGCCCACACTTGGATTCAAGCGAAAGGGATGATAATTTGATCCACTGTACTGACCTGATTCTCCGAGTTGAGGAGTTTGAGCTGGTCGGTGATGAGGCTGTACTTGGCGGACTCCTCCTTGCGCAGGGCCCGCTCCTTCTTGAGCTCCGGGCTCCAGAAAGTCTTGATGCTGTGCATGCTGGAGCCGAGCTTCTGGTTGGTGAGCTCCAGCTCCTTCTTGAGGTTGGCGAGCTCCCGCTGGAGGTCGTTGTTCTGGTGGGTGAGCTCGCCGAGGTAGCCCCCGCTCGAGTCCCGGAGGTGGGTGCTCGGCGACTGCCGGGCCGAGCGCCCGGACTGGTAGAGTTCGTCCTCGAGGTACATGCCGCGCTCCAGGGATCGCCCCCGGTCGAGCGAGCGCTCGCGGGGCTCCCGGATGGGGAGGAACTCGCGGTCGTGGAGTCCCGGGTCCCGCTCGAGGGACTGGTAGCGGACCGACATGGGGGCCCCGGAGACGGGCCCGGCGCGGGTGGCGCTACGGGAGCGGTGGGAGGCCCCAGCGCGGCCCCGCTCCTCGACCATCATCGTGGGGCTCCCGAGCTCCTCGTCCCGGTAGTAGCCCGGCCCGCTCATCTGGCCGTAGCCGACATTCTGCTCGGCGGGCTTCCGCCCGAGCGGACTGCTCCGACTCCCCGTGGCCCCGGCGCTGGGGTAGTTTCGCGACGGCGAGCGGTCCACCGTCGGCAGCTCGCCCACTCGTCTAGAGCTCCGCGGGGAGCGGGTTCCTATGCCGCCACTGTTGACGCCTCCGGCGGGACCGCCGTACGGGTCTCGCGACATCCTTGCCGAAATCCTTCGCACTCAACCTCGTCTCGCGACACACTAACAGACATGCTCCCGTCACTCGCCGCGGCTCTTCCACTGCGTTGCCACTACATCGCCGCGCCGCGCGTAGCTCTGGCCGGGGGGTTGCTGCTCCTCTTCCTGGCACTGCACAGACCGGGGGTTCACACGCGAAGCGACGAGCGACGGAGAGGGTGCGTCGGCGACACGGACTCAGCGACTGGCCGAGGCGGCCCCGGCGCGCCCGGCCGAAGCGCCACCGCGCAGCTCTCGGGAGGTCCCGCCCCGGCCCGCCAGGGGGCAGCACTCCCCCCGCGGGCGCTACCCTCCTGCGCCATCTGCCGGCCACCCCCGCTATTTCCAGCGCCGGGCTTTGCCCTCCCACTGCTGCCGATCATTGTGAAAATTCCCGTTTTAATAGAATTTTACTCCTTCTTTTTACTTTCATTGAAATTATTTCAACTGGATCGCGTTGGTTAAAGATGGAAAGAAACCTATCATTTTATTTGTGTTTGAATCGTCGTGAGTGTCAAATAGCGGAATTTTATTAAAGGACATGATGTAGTCAAACCTTTTTGCAACGTTGGAACTCTTTTAGGCGTTTTAACAATTGCCAGAAAACATTAAATTTAATTACATGAAATATGCCTGATTTTATGGAAGGAGACGCAATTGGAAAAAAATCAGGGCTTCGTTTTCGGAATATCTTGCATTTTTTCTCGTATTCCGGAGGTTTTCTGGTGAAATATAGCTTTTTTTCTTCTTTTTAGATTACAACACTCGAAATTTCAATTTGAAGGAAGCAGATTCACTCGATTTTGTTAATTTTGTTTGCACGTTCCTTTACTATAAGTATTATCATTTTTGATATTGGCAACACCTTCTCCATTTTCTCCTAACCCTAATATTAAGTTTCTTGTATATATTTTTATTATACTCGGTAATTCAATTTCTTTAGGCAGTTTTAAATCCAAGTTAGTTCAAAAGTCCCCTTCTTGTCCGTTCGTGGCCCTTAATCTTAGTAATTATCTCCCAAATTGTAATGACTTGATCAATAAAATTAGAGACAGCCGAAGCCTATCCACCAATAGGAGTCAAATGATAACTCAACGCAAAACATTCTTTGCCATCTTGTTCTAAATTGGAATCCAAAGATTGGCAGTGTTTTATGTGTCAAAAGGCTGCCTATACCCTTTTGGGCCTTAACCTTCCATGAAGCAAGCTGTCCATTATCTCGCTGTACAGGTGCTCTCGTCTTAACTCGCCCTGAAGCTGTTTTTGCGGTCAAAATTAAGGCGGAAAATGTGCCTTGTCGAAAAACGTGGACTCATGCGAGAAATGAATTGAGGCTTGCATTCATTTCGAAAAGTAGGCAAGAACACCTTTTCATCAGAAAAGTTGCATTCTCTGAGCTAGATCCTCGTGTTTAAAGACATCCTAGTAATACAATGATCGATTATACCTGTATGTTAAGCTTGTGATGACAGCATCCGGAAGGAGTGGAGAGGTCCTGAGACCTGAGATGAAAGAGAGGTTAAAAATTCGAGGAGAAGCATAGCACCAAAAGTGATTAACTTGCGTAATGCTGTCGCACACATTTGATACGCGTCCAATAAAAATCCGAAACCGAACGTTAAATGATCTTTCTTAAGAGTACGTAATGCCAGCAATGGGCACGGTCCAGTCATTTGTAAGTACTCGGTGACAATTAAAATTTTTTTTCTCTCCATAGAATTACGAAAGTATTAACAGGGATCCAGTGCACTCGTTTTTTTCATATGCTTTCGCTGTGGATACCTATACCCCTTCAAAACTGGTCTTCCAAGATTGATAGTCTCTCGGTAGCGATCAAGCGTTGGGCACGTGATTGAGTATTGATAAAATCCTTTTTTTAAAAAAAAATTCTTCTTCGAAGAAACGAGAGAATATGTGCGATGTGAAGATGTCATCGCCGAACAAAATATTCAAGCCAGTTACACATTGTATTTTTGATATGGATGGTCTTTTGCTGGGTAAGTTAGTAATCGTCTTAAATTAAATCAAAATTTCTATTGCTACATTTTATTTTTTAACTAAAGAACATATCTACCTATAGAATTCGACCGAATATATTTCTCACAGAAAAGAAAAATTACGAGATGTTTTGAACATGGCATCATAACGTAATGTAACGTTAAATAAACTTCTATTCCAGAATTAAAGTATTACGCAGGAGGCCTGCAACGCCGCATCCCGAGTAAAGTATTTTTTTAGCTCTACCGTCGATACAGCAATCGGACCATGTCGGTATAATTCACTGTTTTATACTAGCGATGGTTTTTTCCCCTTTTCAAATGACATTCAATGGCTTTCATTCAACACTGATAACAATTGGATGTCCTGCTATAACTATGTCACTAATTTAGATGCAATTTATTGGTACTGCGCAGGGCCGGATTGAGGGGGTGGCCACATGGGCCGCGGCGCGGCCCATGGCGGCAAATCTAGGGGGCGGCAAATTTTGTAATATTTTTAAATGTATGTATAAAGAAAATCGGATTTAGAAAAAAAAATTTCAAACGAGAAAAGGCTACAAAATCTCTCATTTCCTGAGAGTACAGAAATTTCTAATTTTGTCGTCTCTCAGTGATACAAGAGACAGCACCTTTAATTAGTCGAGTTTAGAGAGAAACCAAACACACAATTTGGCCTGGAACGGCGCGACTTAGGGAGAAATGATGACGAGGACTTGAGATGAAAAGGAGAAGCCCTCGGCGCGGCAATCGGCATGTAGCACATATTAGCGCCTACAAGACTGCACGAATACTTCACGCATTGCATCAAACATAGTGCGATTATTGTGGTCAGCGTGATACGGATAGCACCTACAAGAATGCATGAATACTTCACGCATTGCGCCAAACACAGTGCGGTCAGCGTGAAACGCATAGCGCCTACAAGACTGCATGAATACTTCACGTATTGCGCCAAACACGGTGCGATCGGCGCGGCGCGGCGCGGCGGCGGAAGTTAAAATCATTAAACCAAATTTGGTGCTTGTTCTTTCATAATTTTTTCGTTCATTTCTTATGAATGGAAGGCCTTGTCTATTAGAGGAAGGTTTACGAAACTTGACTTTCGCGCAAAGTTCCGTGACCTTCTGCTAGGAGTGTTGACAGGGCTTCCCCAAAAAATGTATTCAACACGAGTAAACGTGTCTTATGCACCTCTCCCCCGCAGGTACGTTCACTTGATGGTTTTTATTGATGTTTCAAAACGAATGAGAAGGGGGTGGCAAAATCCAGGCGGCCCATGGGCGGCAAGTAGGAAAATCCGGCTCTGGCGCAGCGTACCAACTAAATTGATGCATTACATCAACAACTGTAGTCGGTGTAAGGCGAATTTTGGCGAGTAGATTTGGTCGAGTTTTGTGACGAGATCTGCAGGGTTGTAAACCAAAGGAGAAAAACTCTGCCGAGGTCGAGAACTGAACTTAGTTGCTTGATGAATTTTGGGCAACGTTTGCATCCATTCACTTTTCAACCCACCTCCGAAGATGGGTTGGGAATTTTGGATGTGGTCGTCATTGCAGCCGGCATGAAAAGCAGGTTGGCAGTAGGTTAAAAACTACAACCAAATCCACTCGCAAAAATTCAACTATCGTTTATCGTTACAAACGAATATAAGTTGAGAGAGGAAAGTCATAATGCCTTTAATTTGATTTATACATATTTTTGGGGAAAATGAGAGACGACGTTTCTCCGTTTGCGACGTTGCAGACTTCCTTAGAAATTTTATTTTTCTTTCGAGAAACTGGCCAACATAAAACTTAAATTCTCCATGATTTTTCGTATTCGATAGCAGAAGATTTGGTTCAAAATCTAAAGTCGTAAATTTGGATGGTTTCTCATGGATGAGATGAATTAAGAACGGAAATTTTGAAACACCGCAATGGAGATACGTGGTTTCGCACTTCAGTCGGTGCGATACGGACAGCCATCAAGTTTAAAAAGTTGCATCAAGTCCCCGTCACCGCCGACCAACGCGTTTGTCGATCGAATCGACTGCAGGTATTATGCGCAGGAAGTCAAAACGCCTTCAATATTTTGAACGCAATACGGACATCCGTCGAGGTTGTATAGTTGTATCAAGGCGCCGTAGCAAGCGCGTCCCATTGTTTATCAATACAGACGAATATAAGTTGAGAGAGGAAAGTCATAATAGCTTCAATTTGATTTATACATATTTTTGGGCAAAATGAGAGACGACGTTTCTCCATTTGCGACGTTGCAGACTTCCTTAGAAATTTCATTTTTCTTTCGAGAAGCTGGTCAACATAAAACTTAGTCGTAATCGATCTACGTATTATGTAGACAGTGTGTTTAGTAAGAGTACTATTTTTAGTAAACAGCACCAGAAACAACATTTTTCTTGTTCTTCCTCCTGTTTATCTTCTTCGGCGTCTTCTTCTTCTCCTGTTCTTCTTCCTCTCCCTGAGTGAAGTTCAGTTTTTTCAGCGCTGCATTCGAATTTTGTTTCAGACTCCGAGAAAATTTATCGGGAAGCTTTCTCTGAGGTCTTTGCCAGGTATGATCGAATCTACACGGAAGAAGTGAAAATGAAGGCCATTGGGAAACAGCCCTTAGACTGCTTACGGACCATAATCGATCTGCTGAAAATACATGATGCCACTCCAGAACAACTTGCAGAGGAGATCAAAGAGCTGCTGAAAGATCGGATCAAGGCTGCTAAATTTAAACCAGGTTTGTGAAAAGGCCAATAGGGATTTTTTTTTATATATTGTTTTAGGCTTTATATCCGGGGGATACTGCGGCCTTGGAGGGGAGCTGAAAAATAGAAAGTAATTTTAGTCATACCTGGGATGATAGGGTGTGTGCGTCATGGTAGGTCTGGGGATTTATGTTAGTATTCTGTAAGAGATAAAGGGATAGTAATGAAGGTATACATATGAGATGATATAGGTTGTCTTGTATTTAGGTTTTTTGATGGTGCCAATAGGGACTTGTAAAATCGCGTAGTCCCCTGTTTTGCCCAGCTTGGTGATTAAAGGCGAACAGCCACGCGCGCGTCTAAACTAAAATTGAGATGGTGGAAAAGAATAAGCGGATGTCGCTGCTTTTTCAACACATCATAATTTGTGCAATTTTGACAATGTGCCTTTACCTCGAGCAGTTCAAGCTGCACACTCATAAAGTCCGCTTGTGGGTGATAGTCGGTCTAACCCAAAGTTTGAAGGCGCCTTTACCGATTATTCACTCGTTTTGATTTTGTTGTACAAATCAAAAAATTGACGTTAAAGCCCAGGTCGTTCGATACTTATAAAGATTCCGTTTTTAAGTTATTCTCACCAATTTGCTTCTCTTATGACACATCTCAGGCAGCTCTGAAGCCTCTAAAAATTACTTAAACTTTTTTTTCCTAAAAAAAGAAGAAGAAGAAGAAGAAGAAGAAAAAGAACACGCGAAAAAAAGCACATAAGTACAGGCTAGTTGGTTCCTTTTCTTTTCTCACTCGTACGGTATCTGTGAGATAGCCAATCATCCCTCTTTCTCCGCCATAAGTTTTTAACGTAATTAATGGATGACTTTACACGACTAATATCCTAATGCATTTAAGTGTTCATTCAAAATTGGATATCATCCAAATTATCGATTATCGGTTTTTTTGCATTGGAAATTTTGTTTAAAATTAATTACATGATTGGTCCAAATTTCAGGAGCGGAGAAACTAATTCATCATCTGGCAGCTCATAAGATTCCGATGGCCATAGCGACGAGCGCATGGATTGAAATGTTGGAAACTTTGAAAGCTTGTCATGCAAAAACTTTTTCTCTTTTCCATCACATTGTCGCTGGTGACAGTGATCCGGAAGTTAGAGAGGGCAAACCTTCGCCCGATATTTTCTTAGTCTGTGCCTCGCGGTTTGACGGAGCCCCAGGCCCCACCCCTTGAGGAGGTAGGCCAACCACTTAACCAGGTTACAAATCTGCTTTTAAAAGCGAGCATATGCGATACTATCTCTTTCTTTCGCATTTTTCAAGTAGCCATTTATATTTCAATGAAAAAATGGCGTGAAGGTGCTGTTTTGATAATTGGCCTGTTGCAAGTTGTGGGGCTTTGAGAATTGATAACTGATTCCAATGGCCAATTTCACGAAAAGAACGATGGTGCTATTAAAAAATCTTAAAATCACCCCCCAAACTTAGAAAAAGCTGTTTTAGGAATCGACCCATTAAAAACGGTCACTTTATCGCTGGAACGGATCTGATGCACTCGTAACGTCAAAGTATATGACGGGCCTGATCTTTTCATCAAGCGACTGTCAATTCCTTATGAAGAAATACATTATAAACAATGAAGAGACTAGGTTTGTTGTGTGCTGTGACGTCACGAAAGTAGCCGGATTTGTTCCCGCGTAAAATTGGCCATTTTGAAAATCCGAATTTTTGGGCGTTTTTAAGTTGATTTTTGAAAGGTTTGCGATGGTCATAAAAATCCGGGAAAATTTCTGTGACAGCACCCAAGGAGCAGTGATCGTGATTAATAGCGATTTTATCGGTTGCTTATCGCAATTATATAGGTGGCAATTTATCGCGATATTATTGAATTAAAAATTGCGATATATTGCGATTAAATTGCTAAACAACGCAATTTCTCATTCGACAAAATCGCAATTATCGATAAATTCGAGATTAAATCGCCGTAAATCGCTATTTTTAAATCGATGATATTGCGATGAAATGCGGGGCGAAAAAATCGCGATTTTAGATCGAGGATAATCGCTCAGATGTTGATCATCCTAGCAGCGATTTTATCGCCGATGAAATCGCTATATACCTATCCCGATTTTCCCGTTGAAAAATGCTAGTAGGGAAGTATTCTTAGATCTTTCGATACAAGCTGTAAGAAAAAATTGTACGACAGGCCGATTTCGCTCCTTTACTACCATTTTGAAAAAGATTATCTTATTGCTTCAATTTGCTAATCTCGTGCTCAAATCTACCCAAACTAATTTGATTCAAATCCGACTCCAATAAAATATTCAACCCTTTTTTTAAAGATGTCACACTTGAAGCTTAAAACCCAGGAAAACGTCTCATTGCCTTTGTGATTAGCTAATAGCTACGAGTAATGCTAGCCATGTTTAAGGGCGCATTTCTCCTCTGCGAATAAATATTTTTTTTAAAATTTCTCAGCTAAAATAAATTCCCTTTTTTTGTTTTTGGTGTTTCGATGCACTACAGCATTAACTGAAATTTATTCTCTCAAAAGTATTCCTACAATAACTGTTTGTTACGTTGTCAAGGTAGGTTAGGTAGGAGGTGCTCATTCATGTACAATTATTTGGAGATAGAATATCAATGTTTTTTTTTTCCTTTTTGATGCCAGTGTCTGGTTTTTGAGGATGCCCCCTCTGGTGTGCTGGCAGCAAAGCGAGCTAAAATGCAAGTTGTCATGGTCCCAGACAGTATGGTTACGCAAGATTACAGAGACCAAGCTACTCTAGTCATCAACTCACTTGAAGACTTTCGCCCAGAGGATTTTGGTTTGCCTCCTCATTAACTTATTCAAACAATCATGGATTTTTGCTCCCCCATAAACGAATATTGTAATACTACAATGCCATTCATAATATTGTAAAAATAATTAAATAAATGAGCAAATATATAAAAATTACCTTAAGTCTATTTTTTTCAAAAGCATCACATGAGTAGTAGTTGCAGTAGGAAGTGAGCAGAAAGAATGAAGAAGAAAAGAAAGATACAAAAAATGGGTATGTGGCTAATGCTACAGAATTGTAATTGGACTGCATTTTGCAATTGGGACCTATAAATTCTGGCTCACCCGAAAAACCACTTATGTGCATAGGGGAACTAATGGCAAATACGTTGTTTTTAAACTGGGCTAGAATCTATAGTTCCAAATTGCAAAATGTAGTCCAATTGAAGAATTAGTCACAGGATAAGTGTTGGATCATGGTGTCTGATAGACTACTATGAGATAAATCCAGTCGTCATTCTTCTAATTCCGATATTAACTGAGATGCCTCTCTTCAATGGTGAAAGAAGCAATACAAATGTCATTCATCCTAATTAGATAATATCTAAGCGAGCGAAACCCACATGTGTACCAGCATCAGCGTCCAGTCATATAATTCATTGTATTCCTCAGATCGTGAAACTTCTGGTGAACACTGACGTTTTTTTAATTATTATGAACTTATACGCAACTTCATTCAACCAAGATTCACGAAGTTCGCCCAAACAGAAGATCCTAAACTTAAAATCAATGAGCATTAATTATTTTAACTATAAAAAAATCTAAATGAAGAAGTTTGCTCTTCTCAGTGCATAAGTAACTCAGTGTTACTTTATTTCATTCCTATGGAGAATTTAAAAGTTTTAATGGCATTCGTGGTTCATACCTCCTAAATTGATCGGACGAAAAAAGATGAATGTTCTTGGTGTCTCTGTCACGCAAGTGAGACGCACTGGTAGATCGCAACGCCTTCATGCAACTATTCCTGCTCTACGGGCGTCTATGTCGCATACTTGAGAAATTGAAGGAGCGCTAGGTCCCCCCCCCCAATTTTTTGCTGACAGTATGGTACGAAATGCGGCATCAGCCGCGCTGTCGTCTCAAATCACTGGTAAGACGTCTACCCGCTCTACCGTGCCAAGGAAAAACACCGTATGAACATTCAGGCGTTGCCAAATCTCCCTAGGTAAATCGTGAAATCTCGAGAAATTTTGTAACTATTTTTCTTCCAATTTTTCATATAATTTTGCTCGCAATTTTACACAGAGCTCCTTAAAATTTGAAGGAAAAATGTTCATAGCTTTCCTCAAAAATATATTTTTTATCGAAGGAAATTTGGCAACTCCCGAATGTTCATACGGCGTTTTCCCTTCGCACGGCAGCGCTGAGAAACGCCTTGTTCTCTCTTTTATTGCTGTGAAATGCAGGGACTAATTATTTAGCTCGTCAAAACAGCAGACAAGTGTTGGAAAACTTGTATAGGGCACATGTATCAACTGTTAGATATCAACTGTCAAGGATTTAGGGGTATGACCATGACATGGGTTTGTTTTCTCCAAAAAGATCCCATATGATTTTCTGAGTGAAATTTTCTGGAAGAAACGTGAAGGTTTTTAATATCGAGTGTACCACATAACCATTAATGTCGACAATGTCATTATTTTTGAGAAACCTAATTCTGCGTTCCTTCGACAGCAAACTTTTATCAATCCGTCGTTTTAACATTACGCATTTGGTCCGAAGAGGGACCCCATCATTGAGATTGTCTTTGTGAAGAGCATACAAGTGTGTGCCTATGATTGCTTGCCTAGCTTGGTACCCAAGCGAGTTCGTATCTCGAGGGATGAAGCCACTGAATTCCGGACGTTTGAAAAAATCCGGAACCGAAAAGCCGTGCTCACCCGATGACAACACGTTGGTCCACGAGGGCTCCGTAAAAGGTTTTTGGCCAAAATTGACGTATTGCGGGAACATGAGAGCCAGCCGTGTGGCCGTGATTGACTCAGGACCTGCGGACTCCGGCGCGCTCACGTTGTATTTCTCCTCGAGGCGTTTCAATGCGTGCTTCCAGCCGTCCGTAACTCGCTGTAGTAAACTCGATCTCATTAACACCGAGTGGAGTTGCGAGACCTGAAATAAGAGAGAAAATTATATCAACCAAGAAAATGGAAAAATTAATACAAATCATATCACTCCCTTTGAATTGCTACTTGCTGGTATATTCGGAGAGAATTATCAATGAGAAGGAGGTGTTGCGATTTGTTTGATTGCAAGGGGATTTTACAATTTATTTAAGTATCATTCCGTCAATTTTCGCAGATTATTTTTCTCATTTTGTCTAGAAACTCCAGAGGCGTAGGAAGGGGGGGGGCAGGGGGGCTGGCCCCCCCTAGAATTGGAAATAGTATCATCTGCCCCCCCCCCCAGAAATTCTGGATGTTGCAAAAACACCTTCTTCAACGGTAAGTCTCTGTCGCCGTGGCCCGTGAGAGGATGCCTTTAAGTAGAAAAACGTATTGAATGCAACAATTTCAAAGTATTTTAACCTTAAAATGCATAAAACTGGGTGATTTTTAGGCAAAAATTGAAGGAAGATTAGCGCCACAACTGCCTCGAGATGCGCTCAAGTAGAGTTAAAATTTCAAAAATTTTCCGGGGGAGGCCTCCCGGACCCCCCTATGAGCTGGGGGGTATTCCATAGCCCCAGACCCCCCGGTGGTGGGGGGCCAGCCCCCCCCCAGCAGAATGACCTAGCTACGCCTACGAGAATCTCATGACTCGGTACCATTGACTCATATGTATATGATTCCCAAACGGGCATTTGCTGTGCAGTGATAAGGCTCAACACTGGATTCACCTACCTTTGCAGGACTTCCTAGTGTTAGGAAGACATTTTTAGCCCTCAGTCGGAGTAACCCTTCTAAGTTAATGAGGTCTACCTTTTCATATGTTTATGTATCATGTATATAAAATTTGATCAGGTAATTTTTTTCGTTTCGCGCAATTCAGTGGAGAATTAGATAGTTGATTATTAAATCTACCCCACCTTTTGAAACTTTCTCCGCAAAACCCCCCCTCTCTTAACAGAACTTTTACTCACCTCTTTTTCGTTGGTGAGTCCAATCACCTCCGTGCTCGACCGGTTCTGCAAAGCTATCAAGTCTTGGATCTCCTCAAGGAATTGGTCTGGTTGAGTGCCGTGCGCTTTAGCAGCAGCTGTTAACTTTCTCGCAATGTCCACAGGGCTGAAGTCAAATTCTTTCATCGCCATTTTATCGGCATAAAAATCGAGACTGTATTCTAAGTCATCATCTTTCAGCGGGCCGGCAACGTGCCTCATGTAAGGGTCATCGTAAAGAACATCTTCCGCGGCTGAAATCGGGTCAGTTGATTTTGAGGATTCCTCGTCAAAATTAAACAAGCCCGACGGACGTGTCGAGACTACCAGTGGCTCGTCTATTTCAGTCGGCTCCGAAGTTGTTTCATCGAGATCTGAAGTCGGCTCTTCTGTTTCAGTCGGCTCCGAAGTTGGTTCGTCGAGATCTGAAATCGGTTCTTCGGTTTCAGTCGGCTCTGAAGTCGTATCAGAAAGTAAGTAAAGTTCCCCTGTTGGATTCGAATCCTCTAGATATGTTTGTGGTGCATCAGTCGCAATCGGCTCCAAAAGCTCTAATTCGCTGGAGAATGTACTACGTAACCTAACTTGAGGCGACTCATCCTCTACTTCATTGTCCAACACAGATCTGGTTGAGACATATGGAGACGCCTTGGCTGCAACAAAGACAGATGTGTTCTTTGATGGTAATGGTATTGATGAACAAGTTTATCTTCGCCGCGGAGGATTACCGCGGTTAGATTATTGAAATGGGTAGACGGAGCGATAGACGGAGGAGTCAAAGAGCGAGCGGACGACGATTCTATTGGTGAAAGCGGGTGGTTCCAATGGACAAAGTAGATAAGTAATAGACTAACCAACTGAGAAAAAACTCTGGCTTATAAACCAATTATTGGTTCATATGGAACACCATTAATAGTTGTATATGAACTAATGATTATCGGTCTGATACTTTGGTAGCTCGTACCATAGTATGGTATATATACCATAAGTAAGGTGTGTGTTCTATTATTATCTTCACTACTATTAGTGGTGTTCCATCTGAACCAGTAATCGGTTTTTAAGCCATAGATTTTTCTTCGTGAACGGCAACCCACGAGGGACTCTCATTTTCCCCCTTACTCTCTAACAATCACCCGTTTAATCAAAAGGATCGCTTTATTTTCCCTTTGTTTTCTAGAGTTATCTTTCAATTTAAATAATCAGCTCGTGNGGGGGGGGGGCTGTCACTGGATCCTGGTGCACCGCTGAGGTTTGTAGTTTTAAAAATTACATTTAAAGGGCACCCTGGTAGCTTCTATAGCCGGCTGCACAATTTCTTATAGCCTTTTATAGCCGATGGCGACTAAGCAACAGCCAGGCGATAAAGTGTATGCTAAACTTTACTAATTACGGATGCTATGCTAGGACTTAGTGACTTTTTGGAATACTGCTCTCTTTTTGGGCCGTAGTATCTTGATTTATTTTGCGAGGAAAGCTCCGTACTTTTGATGGATGCCTGTCTTACTAATATATTAGAGCGCCTTCAGTTTCGAATTATACTGTGCAATGCCTCTGGTGTGAAATAGTTGCTTCAAGCGCCGTGGCAGACGGGCAGCCAGCGCGAAACACGCATTGGCGCCTACAAACCTAACAGGGATACTTCACGCGTTGCGCAATGCGTGAAGTATCCCTGTTAGGTTTGTAGGCGCTAGTGCGTCGCCGCTCCGCTTTGTGTTAGGCTCTAATATTTAATCTGGCGGAGTCAGCGTTATTCAACTCATGATTTTGAAATGTTTGCACATCCTGTATGGATTATTCTCATTTTAATTGATGAAAAAAAAAAGTATTAAAGGAAAATATAATGTGTTTGTAAATATTAAGGTGGTTCCGTATCAACTTAAGCAACTTATCAAAAACTTAATGATTTCCAAAGCACACGGATTTGTACACAATTTCTTATAGCCTTTTATAATCGATGGCGAAAAAGCAACAGCCAGGCGATAAAGTGTAAAGCCGAGCGATAGGAACTATAATGGCCCGGCTGCATAATTTTTTATCGCTTCGTACAGCCCGGCCGTATGATTTTCTCCGCATTCTACAGCCAGCTATATGATTTTCTGTAGCCTTCTTTAACCGGCTATAAGAATTCCTATGGTACTTTGAAACGCAGCTCTTATCGCCAATTTTTACCAAGGCACAAATAGTAAAAATGAGGGGATTGGAGAACAAGGCGCACAAGTGCAGTTTTTGCTATTTCAAGAAATACGTGTTTAAAGTTTCAAAATTACATGGAGCCTTATGGCGGAAAGGAAATTTGAACTCACTTTTTGATGTTTTAAAGTTGGATTTTAGTTGTAAATTTTTCACAGAATATACTTTCAAACTAGCTTCAGTTGAGTTCATGAATATCTCAATGTTTTCAAAAACTGCACCTAAGCGCCTTGTCCTCCAAGGCCCCTCAATTTGAGGGCCTCAAATGAGTATCGTTGGTGGAACTGCAAGAACGCCTATCTCAGTTTGCAACGATGCAGCCTCCCTGTCAAACTTCATTCTTTCGGTGAAAAATATAAGTTCTCAAAATTATTTCTTGGAAAATACCCTAATTTTTTCAGCTCTGTCAGTTTTAGTCTTTCTCATTAGCTAGTGTGAAAATTGAACATGATAATGCCCTCGTAAAAATAGAAGTGGCGTTCAAGACAAAATACGTATCGTGAAATCTTGGTATTTCTATTTTAATTTTCAGGTTCATCCTTGATTTCAAAAACTGTAAATTAATCTGCAAAATCATTTACGTTGTGATCGGTACTCAACGAATACTCACCTGCATCTAAGATAGCTGCAGTTAGAAGCAATGTTAGTACCAGAGTATGAAAATGAAGGAAAAGAGGCTCGGCCCTCCCCTTGGTTTTCTTCGACGATGCGGTCATCTGGAATTCTGGAAGAACAATAGGGGTTATTACACTTAGGGAGAGTCCATAAATTACGTAACATACTTTTTGCGCATTTTGGACAACCCCCCCCCCTCCCCCCTGTAACGCTTTTGTGACGTTGCTCCCCTACCCATCAACACGTAAAAACACACCTAATAAATTACAGTATAGGTAGAAGTGGATATAAACATTTTAAAACTTTATTGGTTCATTAAGTTTTTAATTTTTTGGTCTACCCTTTTTTGATGCAGACTATTTTTCTAATGCAATAGAAATTTACCGGCAACTTTGCCTAGTGTTTTTCCGATCGGTCAAGCTATATTCTATGCTTTCCGATCAAATATCAGGATTTTTTTCACGCGACTGCGACTGTAAACCGGCAAACAGTGGACCGAGTCAATTAGAGAGGTCGGACATGAAATTTTTGACTAAAACTGCAAATTTTGTCGCTTATTTCGTCTTATTTTGAATTTCAACGGGTGCTTCTTGAGGAAAATTTCACGAGGAAACCAATGGAGCCACTTTTAGAGCCTTAAAGTTTTGTATAAACGGAGTTACAAGCGTTTAAAGTTTCCGGATCGTGTCCGAGCTCTCCTATTGACTCGATCCAGTGTGCGGCAGTTTGCACTTAAAAAGTCTATTTTTTCCTCATTTTAGAAACAATATACACGCCATTCGACTCCCTATGCAGATATGTGCTTTATGATTGAACCGGAGATAATAGGTATTTTTTTGCAGAGTATAGGCCAATTCCTCTGATGATCGGTTGGTCAGAGTTCTGCCCTAGTGATTTGAACTCCTGTGATCAGGTATCCAGGATTAAGCACATCACAGGCCTCTGATTGGTCAGGCTTTTAATCAATCTGAAATCAGGGCTTCTAAATTCTCAAGCTCGAGAATGTGTATGAATAATATTGCCTCATCAGATAAAGCAAAACTATCCAGACAGGTCTCGATGAAGCTAATACAATCGAATTTAAGTTTCGTCACATTTTTGTTTTAGTTCACCATGACCTGACCTCAAAATTAGGTGCACGTGCTTATTATTGACTGTGAGGTTAAAATTGAACTGCGTCCACCCGTATTTACGTAGCTGGGAATGAAACGTTTTGTAATTTCCCAGCTTTTGTGATTTTTTTTTTTTTTTTTTTTTTTTTTTTTTTTTTTTTTTTTTTTTTTTTTTTTNTTTTTTTTTTTCAGCAAGACGGCCGCGGCACATCGTACTCGTTAATAATTAGTAAAATATATTACAGTCGAATCACCATGCTTAGCACAACATTTTTTTCGTATTGATCATATGCACTATTAATACAAGTGTGTTCAAATACAGTTGAAATTTCAAAATGTTTAATCAATCAACATAATTAAAAGAAGTTACAGAGAAAATTTCGACATGTTCTCATTGAATTTCGAAAATTTTAGCTTTCCCGTAAACAGACTGATTCTTGAGTAAAGGCTCATTGGTATTATCTTTTTTTCAATTATGTCTTAGAGGTCTATATGTATAGCATCCCTTTAAAAAAAAGAAAATCATGCTGGTTTTCACGTGGGAAAGTGCTACGTAAAATACAAAACTGTGAAACGTCCCTTAGGAAATCAAGTTTATTTCAATGAAAATGCAAAATTTGTTTAAATGTATTAAAGATTATTTAAGTATCAACAAAATTAATTTAGGATTGGAATGAAAATCAAAACCATCAAAATAGCACCCGATGAGACCCAGGAGAGAAACACGGGGAAGTGAACATTGTTTGGCTCATTTATATGACCTAGGCGGATCCAAAGGGGGGTGGGGGGCTTAGGCTCTCCCCCGTTCGCCCGAATAAAAGGAGGAAGAGAAAGGGGAGAAAGAGAAAAGGGAAGAACGCAGGAAATAAGAAGGAGGGACATACGGTAATGTCTCATGACAAAATTGACTCATTGCTTTAACATTTCGAGAATTTTCTGGGGGAAGCCCGCAGAATCACCCCCC